GCCCGCCCCCCCCCCCCCCCCCATCATGTAGCAGGTGACTCCAGTGGTGTGAGAGTTTCTTCAAATATAACTTCCCCATACAAGTATTAATTGAATTTTGGCATTGTGCTGGGTAGTAGCATTGGGATAACTAAGAAATCATATTCTTAGTGTTAAGATGTGCTGGGGTGCAGTGTAGTTAAAAAAAAAAAAACATATTCATTATTAATTCAGCAATAAAAACAAGCAGTGCAGAAGTGGCATAAGTTTTTAAAGTATCAACATTACCTCACTAAACTTAACAGATATGCAAAAACTGTCAGTATTATTGTTTTGTAACTAATTTGTACTGTTTCCCAGCAGTTCTGGTAGTATTAAAACAGCACTGGATGTTTTACTGCCACCTGTATTATTATTTTGTGCATGTTGCTGAAAGATGTTAAGTAATAGTAATATGCAAGTGTATTCTTAAAAACTGGCATCTTATTAAGCAAAATACGAGGTTTTGTTTTTTTAAATGATAATTGATGAATAATGAATTTTTAAACTTTCAGAATTTTTTTATACTTTGTCACAAGCTTTTAGACTTTCTGGACTACACTGCTGAAGCACAAAACATAGAGATTGCTGTTTTGTAGAGACAAGTGTTCACCTACTAGTCAGTTTGTTTTTTTGTCTGTGTTCCTGGAGTAATGGAAACATGTCAGAATTACTAATCTGAGTCTATATAATTTTCTTTCAACATTTGTGTGTAACTTTGAACCTTGTCTTTGAAAGGCTGAGCAGTCTCAGATGGTGATGCCTTGACATTTTATATTAAGATCAGACATCGCAGGCTGAAGCCGACCTTCTGCCATGCTGCTGTAGGGAGTCTTTCCTATATGCGTTGTAGTAACAACGGCTTAGTCAGACCTGAATAAGGAAGCTTGTGTTGGAACAACTTCAGCAATAAATTAAATTGTATATCTGAAATAGCTGAAAATCAAGCTTGTCTGCTTCCTCCCTACTCAGTCCTTTTGTTCTAAGACTTAACTAAGGACCTGTGATGGATGGCAGCGTTCTCAAGTGACACAGTAAGACCTTCATTGGGGCCTGCCGTTCACATTAGTGATGTTCTCTGGAAGCATTTGAGTGCTGCATTCCTGAAAATGTTTCATTAGGTGCCTAAATAGAAACTGGATTATTGTACAAGTCCAGCCTTCTACCCTTTGTGCTGTGCTTATAGATGATACTGCCACGGGCCTTGTGTGCCTCCCTTCCTGGGCACTTGCTTTTTTGCGATCTTGATGAAGACAGGACATCGTAACACAGTGATGATAATGCTTACTCAAATTGAATTATTTAAGCTCCTAGAACACTTATATTAGCCAGCAATTGAATGGATACAGGAGGAGATGAGATGATTGCTTGTTTACAGACCTCACTGCTCAAAAAAGTCAATGAATCTCACCTACCTAGGACGGGAAGACAACATCGAGATCCAGCAACCTTCTACAAACAGTAAAAGGCTTTCTACTAATTAGACTTCAGAAGGTCTAAAAAGGAGACTTTTCAAATGTCTTACACTTTATACAAGATTACCATATCAATTACAGGGAGGCCTTTCCCATTCCTCTTTATGCAAACTTTTCCACTGCTCTGTTCACAATAGGAATTTTTTTTTGTTCAGGAGTGAAATTGAAGAGAGGGAAATACTCTTTTGGTAGAAATTCTTGTGTAATTTGACATCAGCTGCAGCGTTTCAGTTTTAAACTTTGTGCTGCTCTGTGTCTTACGAGCTAAACAATTTTTTTCATGTATCCCTTAGATTTCTCATGGGTAAAATGATGTGAAAAACTTACTTTGATCAGCTGTATCCTATAGCACAAGGTTATCTCGTATGTTGCAAGTTTTCTTCTATGAAACCATGGTTTCCTTCAGCTCAAGTAATGGTGGTTGGTGTATAGGTTTTACCATTGTCCAGCACAATTTGAGTTATTTTCTCTTAACCTCTAACTTACACTGAAACTTTTTAATGCTGTAGAGGTATGTAACAAATTGCTTTTGGTTCTTGTTTTGAAGTTCAGCTGAAATATTCTCTTGAAACTTGCTTATGATGGCATTTGTCTTAAGTGTGGTTCTAGTGACTGTTCTTCTAACTTACTGCAAAGTGTTCAAATAGTGTAGCAAACATGCATGACTCCTCTTTTTTTTTTAATCACTTGTATATTTATGCACAGCATGAAGCTTCAATAAAATATCATGGTAGCTTTTTTTTTAAAAAAAAAAATGCCTTAGGGTTATTTTTTTTGTCCTATCCAGGTTTCTGTTCCAGAAAAGATCTAAGTTGTTTCTAAAATCAAGATGGGACAAATAGGAATGAACTAAAGCAGATTTTTTTTAAGATTGTAGAATAATAAATGAGGTAGGTATTTACCAAATAAATCACTGAATATAAAGCCCTTAAACCCACCCTACAGCTAACTGTTAATGGGGTTATACAAAGACAGATGGAAACTAGTCTCTAAACCTTGAAAATACATGTTACAGAACAATAAATACCCCTAAACTATCAGTACTAATGACTGCATCATGTCAAGCAGCTTCTGCTTTTTTCTTTCCATAGTAGCTTGGCCCTTTCCCCATGTTATTGTCATCAAAATGGGGGAAAACACTGGAGGTGACAGTTTCCTCTTTTGTAAAGAAAAGCAAATTATTATAGTCCTATAATAATAACATACACTACTGAAGTAGAACAAATACATCTTACTGCCTTAATGGTTTATGTGGTTACCAGGGGAGTGGGGTATTTTTTTTCCAGACATAAAGACAGGCTGTCTTCATCACCCTGAGGAATTTGGCCATTTCAAAATGTCACAGCAACACATGATATCTGAATACAAGCCAAATATGGAAACCATTGATCAGCAAGTCTAAAGCATTTGCTTTTAAATGAGCATAAAACTTAAAGATTCAAACCAGCATTGTAAATAGCTAGGTGTTTGGCCTGGCCTTACTAAGTGCAGCTCTGTGTAAAAGAGACTGGAACTGATGCAAATCCTCTGCTTTGGAGGAGCTGAGCCTTTCGACAAGCCTGAAGAGTGATGCTCAAGTTAAGGCAGAACTTCTCTATTTCCTCCCTGCAGAGCCCACACACAGTCCTCTGGGCTAGTACACCTCATTGCTCTTAACACAGGCTACACAGGTTGCTAGAGCTGAACCATGTTTTTAGCTGTAACCACTATCTACCAGAAATTTGTTGCAGCTGGTTAAGTATGTTTGCATCTATCAGTTCCAGCTCTGAGAATGTCTGCTCTTTAAGTATCTGAATAGAGTCAAGTACTGAACAGGTAGTCATCTACAGCATTAACTTGACTGTTAAGAAGCAGAGGAAAGCTCAGTCACAATTACTTACAAGAAAAATAGCCCCCTTCCAAATTCCAAGCAATTTAAAAGCCCAATGTTTTGGTAGTTAGTCATACATTTCAATGTAACACTGAAGTACTTTTGCAGTTCAACTGGTTTTGTGATTACTACCACTGTACTCTTCCTGCATTATTCTCAAAGCATGAAGTGATCACAGTTGTAATTCTGCAGTCAGAAAAAGGAAACCCATATGAAAATTCCAGAAATTAGGTTGGAAAAAGACTACAAACAACAAGTGTTTCTCAGAGACAAATGTATCTGAATGTGATTTCAGGAACATGGGTGCAGGTTTTCCAGCACTACACAGAGACAATTCTTCAAGTGTTACTTTTAAGTCAGTTTTACATAAATATCCGTATGTAGTTTGACTCTTACAAGACTTGTTTCCAGCCCCCCTGGCTCCCTGCAAGTTTCCTGTTCAGGCAGTCTTTGTGTTTTATTTTGTGAATCATATTTTGCACAGAATGTTTATCAGTGCATTATGAGAGTAAATATAAAGTCTTGATCATTTAATACCTCAGGATCTGTCATTTCAATATATAACTTGACATTTTTAATAACTAAATGGAAAAAAAAAACCCTTCCAGTTGTTCAATATATATGAAGCCTCATGATGTCAAGGACTGGTTTCTTTTTCCTATAGTAGATCAATTAAATTTCCTATAAATTTTCATGCTCATTAAACTTGGTTTATTTCAGATACTTTTAAAAAGATTCCAGTGAATGCTGCCTGTATTTAAGCTTTTAGAAGTTAAAGAAGTAACTCTTTAGAACATAAATATTTGTCTTACTGCAAAGCTATCTTCTTCCTTTGGAAGTCCAATCTTGCAGCCTCTGCACTGACTACACTCTAGGTAACCGAGGAAATTCTTTTCTAGAAGTATTTAGATAGAAGTGGCTCCAGAGCACCTTTGTAGTAAACCAGTACTTTCAGCTCATTATAAAGTGTGGCATGCACACAAACTCAATCCCCTTTACTTGAAGAAGCACACAGTTCTCAGAGAATAATGTTTTACTACGATTTATAATAAAAACCATTTACAGCATCTCTGTGAAAAATAATGCCATTTTGAGACTGGCACAGATGTTCTCCTTTATCAAAGAGGAAGCTAATGTAAAATCTTTTCTTTTTTCCTTGAAGACTTCATAAAGCAATTTAAACATTTAAAAAAAAAGGTCTCTTTAAAAAGTCTACTTTACACAACACTGACAAATCAGCATGCATGCAAACTTATTTAAACCGGACCAGCAGTGCTTGAATTAACCTTTAAAAAAATAATAATCATCATCACATGAAGAGAGAAGGTGAAGGTAACTTTGCCTACACAAGAAGTCCTTTGGATATTACCATTCAATAAGCCTGAACTCTGCTAGCAATGGTAGGTGGTCAGAAGAGTTATTTTCATTGGGAAGACCATTAACAGTCCAAAGATCTTGCTCTGTTAGAAGCGCCAGCCTGCCAAGAAGTTTCAGACCTCCATGAAAAGAATCCTCTGCTCCTGGTTTAAAAAAAAAAAAAAAGTGGAAATGTTCATCAGTGTGGGCTAGAAATCACATATTCATACATATGCAGAAGGAAGAAAACAGTATGGCAGAAATAATCTGAAGTCATTATTGTTCCAGGCAAAATCACCAATAAGGTCGTTCAGAAATTCTTCGTGTTCACTATTACTGTCACAGTAGAACTTATAATCCGTAGAGCTCACAGTACTCAGAAAGACACTACCCCTCCATTTTGTGGAGGGATAAATTGAGGTAGAAAGGGATTTACAATATTCATTGTAACTCCCCTGAAAAACCCTCACACAATTCAGTCCTATACTACAGCACAACAGCATTGCTCAACAGAGCTGACACTTGCAAAATTAAGCATCTTTTTAGAGTTCCTGGTTCACATAACATTTTATTTCTGTATCCTCAAGCACAGCTTCTCTAGCAGGCAAGTCACACAGGAACTCTTGCTCATGAGGATGGAAGCCTTCTGGCATTTCCCTTACTAACTGTTCATCGTAAGAAAGGGATCTTCCTCCATTATTTCCCGCTACCTATTCCTATAATCGCCTAAAACAAACAAAAAAAACCCCAAGGACAAAAAAATCCCCCACAACACACACACAAGAAACACCATATTGTTCATGGAAGACAGGAAGATGACTCACAGCCTTGCTATTATTAAACCTTATTATTACACTATACTTAAAATATTTGTGTCCTCCTTAAAAAAAAAAAAAAACAACAAACCTGAGAAAACCATCAGCAGCAGAGTAACAAGTAAAGAAATTCTATTGAGAACAAGATCCTTCCATGATGTGTCAAACTTTTAGAGTTCTTGAGCTATCTACTTGAGCGAGACGACTATTCAGCAACCTTAGCTATTGCCTTCAGAGCACAGAAATTATTTTGAGCAGGTCAAGTGCTTTCAGGACCAGCACAAATGGCAGCTGTAACTTTGACAAAAATATTTTCTGTATGAAAGTGATGAGCAATTTCAGAACTTCCTGGCTGAACCTGGTACCAGCTTACCAGTAGGTATATTTTAAAGGATTATCAAGCAACTGTTGAACTCGGATAGTTCAACAGCTTCACTTCTTTGCCATCTGCCAGCTTTCCAGTTCTCTAACAATGTAGCAGCTCGTTACTGCTGCTCTGAAGAAAAGCTTTTTTACTGCAAAGATGTCTCGGTAGCTCTAGAGCACAGGTCCGCCCAGCTCTTGAGCCAAATTTATCATTTGGCACAGCACCTGCATGTCTACAAAGGAGCAGTTTGTTGTTACAGAGGGCTTGGTCTGCATGCAGTGATTAATGTCAGCTCAGAGCACTCTGGAACCAGCAAAACTGAGTCCTGCAGAACCCTGCTTTCAAAGCAAATCCTGAATACCACACCAAATACTGGGCCAAGCATGACACAGACTAAAGCACGAAAACTTTTAAGAAAACCCAAACCTTTTAAATAGAAAAAAAAAAGCAATCAGTCAGCCTAGACCACATTTAATACTCACTTGTTCAGACTTTGACAACTTTTAATACAGAGGCCCAGGTCAGCAGAAAACTGAAAATCCAGACTATTACTTAGTTTCTAAGAACTAATGAATAAAAACTACACCAGTTTAAACTACTTGCAGAATTCAAGTTTGGTCCCATTCTGTACTCTGATGTGGGGTGAAGAATCTATTTGAAAAACAAGTGCAAAAAGAAAACAGTACTACAGCTCTGCTGGGGCAATGATGGTGCAACAAAAATATATAAGCAGATGCGTTAGGATTAAATTTTGCACAAGGATGTGCTCTGAAATCACACAGCACTCTTAAATCACACAGCATTCAGAAGTCATTTAGATATTTCTCATCCTAGTTTTTTCAGTCAAAGCTTTTATGTCTGTATTGTGAAGCTTTTGTATTTTATATTTTACACTAAGATAGCATTTACTGTGCATGTTATGACAAATGAGACTTTCACTCAATGAATTTTAACAATCTAGTCTCAAGGAATGAGAGATGAAGGTGGTATTTTCATTTCACATACTGAAAACAATGTTAATTGATAAAAATCAGTTGCAATCTACAGTGGGAGCAGGAATGGAATCCAGGTTTCTTTGTTCCAGGTTCTGCAGAGCCATTTATCTGATAACACTGCACTGTGCAATGACCTTTGACGATGGCATAAAACACAGAACTACTGATGACACGGAAAGTGCACTGCTCAGAAGTATCCATGGTAAGAGCACAAATGCAGTAAAGGACAGCACTGTGCTAGCCATCAAGAAATACACCCGCAGAGGTACCATGTCTTTCTTGCACCATCTGGTGAGTTTTAGCTGCAACTGCAATCAAGAGAGTGACAACTGGGCATGTGCAAGTGACTGCTCTCAGAGCAAAAGCCACAGAGGTCATTTACTTGACAGACATTACATCAGGACTATCTGAAAAGTAACTTTCTAAGAAACAGTTCATTTATAAGTTTTAATGCACATCATAAATTGCCGTTCACCATTTTGTTGATTAGATGATTACAAATACTGCTTTCTTGTCGGTCCAGCTGCTAAGGTCCTGCATGAGTTCCTGACACCAGTATTTCTCAGGTGCTACTCACATTGCTCTTTTCTGTAGCCTCAGCTCTTTTCTCCCTGCTGAGATGGCAACTACAGGAATGTTCAGTTAGGTGAAAGTTTGCCCTGTGTGGCACTACAAGTCCAACTGTGGTGAGTCGACAAGGCCAGCCACGTTTCTCAGATGACAGCTGACATTCAGAGCAGCACCACGAACCTCTGAGGTGCTTCATACGGATTAAATTATCACTACATTTCCCTTAGAACAGCATCCGAATATTCCCATTTAGCGTTTATGAAAAATAATTAAAAGTTGGTTTCTTTACCTGGCTGGGCAGCAGTATCATCATTTGCTGCAGAATAGAAAATATAATCCACAGTGACAGCACTTCGGGAGTGACAAGTTGTTACTTCTGGTATCCCAGTTTCAGAAAAGTAATGAGAATAGACTGAAGACAATTTAAAATGGTGCTGCAATTTTGAAGACAACCTAAACAGGAATCAAAGAAAATAATTTTATTTTCTTGTCTTTCCTGGAAAGAAAAAGCAATGAATAAATACCAAATAGTTCCTGGTTACAAACAAAATGAGTTATCTGGATATGCAAACTAGCATTGCTCTCATGCAATCAATCCCACAGCCTTTTGTGTTAGTGGTCTAAACCTCTGAAGGGAAAATGCAGGCAGCTTTTTCAAGTAAAAGGCAGATACCTAAAAGCCTATGAAAACTGGCTTAACTGACACTTCAAATATGCATAGCTTTCACCTCCATCTACACTTTGTAAGATTTCACATGCATCCTCATTCAGCAACCTCTCCCTGACACATCGGTAGAAGTGTCTGTGAGAGCAGCTTACATGAAAGCAACAAACTATGAACTCATCTAACCAGGCCCTTCAGCATATAGAGAAATTAAGATTTTTAGGGTTTTTTCTCCCCTAAACTAAAGCAATCAAGTGTTTTCAAGTTAGGCTATGCCTAATCTTCTTTCTTCCAGTCAGGTTCCCATTTTGTCTCTCCCCATCATCTGTCAGTCTGTTCCTCTTCAGTTCAGCCCATCTTGTCTCACCTGGTTTTTCAATCTTGAAAGCAAACTGCAAAACCGCACCTTTCAGCAAAAGAACTCTTCTCTCCCTCCCAGCCATTTGCTCCCATCAGCTCTGCAAATCATCCATCCCTCAGCTGTACCTGCCTCACGTTGCATGGTTGCATGTTAAACCTGAGCTGCAACGTGTTCTGGTTAAAAACCAAGCAATTAAAAAAAAAAATTTCAGCATGTCACCTGCCTGATTTAGAGAAGACTGACAAACATGCCAGTTGGCACAACACAGAAGGGCAGTCATTTCTGCTCTTGTTACATGACATCCTTTTTAAGATGAGACAAAAAACCCTGTAAGCCATGTTCACTATGTGGCATGCTATGGATTTACACAGTAGAATAGGGCTTCCTGTCTTGTTATCTACTACTTTTCTCAGAAACCCCATTACTTAGCTTTTTGATCACCAAGCATTTTAATGTAACTATCTGCAGTGATACCAAGATCTCATTTCTGATAAGAAATGGCTGACTTGCAGCCTGACATCACACGTACACAGTTAGGGCAATTTCCTTCTATGCCTTACTTTATATGCCTTTACCAGTTTGGTAAATGCAAGTATGTTCTTTCAAAAAGCAGCTACATTCTTCTTCTCAGCAGTCTAGTGGTGGCTTCCTCCTTCAGTTTAATAAGCAAATGTTTTGATCCGAGTAAGAGTTGTACTACCAAATCCCTAATACTCCAAGTTTCTGGGACTGAAAGAACTTAAATTCTCCCACAGAACTCTTGACAAGGAAGATTTTATGATCTTTCCAGTTCCCTTCCCTCCTTTATCCCAATTTCACATTGTATTATAGGATTTTACTAGCATCCATAAACTAGCATCTCAAAAAACAGTAGAGAGAAGTGCCAACACTTAAGCAGCTGGACAACACTGGGGTTTTTTTGTGGATCCGCCCTCCCCCCCCCCAGCATGGTTTCTGCAAGTTCACAGCTTTCCTACAATGTCACTACACAGCAGAATATTCTGTTTATGTAACAAAAAAAAATGTGAGAAGCATTCTTTTAATATGCAGACAGAAAGTACCCTCTAAACAGTACTGACACCTTGCCTCTGCATTCTGAAATAACATCTGCAAGTTCCCACAAGAACACACATTCCTCCATTACTTCCAGTTCTAGTCTTTTGCAGTCTGATCAGCCTTTTCATGTTTAAATGGAAGATGACTTTTTGCCAGATGGGCAGACTGAGTTGGGTGAGCATCTTGTATCGATGTCTGGAATCACATACAAGTTTGGTCTAAAAACAAAACAAACCCCCAAAACTAGGAACCAGTCAAGGGCTTCCATTTTTCCCCCCCAATGCATACTTTTCAGATGCTATTACAATCTCCTGAGTGTTGTCCAGTTTTGCTGCTTCCAATTTTTCTCCTGTAAAATAAAAATGCATTCAATTTACATTTAAAAATAGGATGTAGGTGAGACCAGTATTGAAGAGCTACAGAAAAGAAAATATCTTTAAGTACACTGATTTTTTGCAGCAAGCAAGATACAATTCACAAAGCTAGATTAAATTCTGCTGTTCCATTAGTAAGAATCCTTCCAAAGACTCTTTCAAATTATGTCCCATTCATTTAAAATTGTTTTTTTCTGTCAAAGAAAAAATGGTGGATGAAAGATGTAGTAATATTCAGCAAGGAATCACTTGCTTTTCCCACTTGTTCCATAAAGTGCTTGCACTAGACTACATAAACACTGAAGCAGAATGTAGGTTCATGCTACATGTGTGCTGCATTCCTCCATCTCTCCTTTCCCAGTCACAGCACAACTGGCTTTCATGATGCACACAAAGTAGTTTAAATATTACACACCAGCTCTTGAATGGCAATTTCTAACTATTATCTTCTAAGATTCAAATTTGCAAATGCTTATGTGAACAAATAACTTTACACTCTAATGAGCCCAACAAGGAAGTTTTGCAAGCTCGACTCACTGGTTTTCCCCCACTAGAATAGATCATCTGTTTTTCAGTGCTACCTGAATGGTATTTTCAAAGGACCACAAAATTCATCAACCTAGAAACTGACCTGCATTTTCTTCTTTTCGTTGCTGTTTTATTTCATATACACAGTTTTGCGAAATACCTAATTTTTTTGGCCAAATTGGAATAGATAAGATTCTTTGTCCCCTTGGAAACTGTTCTTGTCCAGAGACCTAGAGAAGACAACATGAGCTTTTTTCAGACAGAAATATGATTTAAAAAAAAAAACTGAAATGTAATTTTTGTAGTTTAACAGTTTTAAGCAAAAAACAACCCCACCCCCCTAGAATAAAGCTTTTAAAATGGCTTGTCAAATGTCTGTAAAAATAGTAACACCCCTTATGTACACACCCTTTGTTTACTCTTACCAATAATGGCTTGTCAAATGTCTGTAAAAATAATAACACCCCTTATGTACACACCCTTTGTTTACTCTTACCAAGTTTTTTGCAGCTACCCAATTTTTCAAGATAGTTCTTTTGTCACTAAGCTGAGAGACTACCAAGAACAGTTTTAGCAACATAACAGGACTGAGTATATACAGCTCCCTAGGAAACACTTGCTTTATCTTCACGATGCTTATTCTCCTGGGAGCAAGTCAAGTCAAAGCAGGGCTTGAAACAACCACCCACTAGGAACAAATACCAGTGGGGCTATTTTTTCATGTTTTCTCATTGTATGTACTCCAGTTACGTTCTATTAAATAGCATTTGACACGTCCAACAACTACATACTAGTGCTTACAACAAAAAATATCTAACCTGGAACAGTTTCGGTTCA